AGCCAGCGGTCCACAGCCTTGTCATCGTTGACATCCACCCCAAACTCCGCCGCAACGGTCTGGATCACTGGAGCTTCCGTAAGCAACACCGGCTGCACAAACGACGGCTCGTCCGCTGCCTGCGCCGAACCACTCGCGCCCGATCCGGTAAAATACGCGGCCTCTTGCGGTGTGGTCGCCTGGCTTGCGACTGGTGACGGCGGTCCACGCTTCAAACGGCTCTGCCTCTGAAAATACAGCTGCTGGCTAAGCTCATACTCCATATGAGCCGCCTGCTGTCTTGCTTGCTCATAGGGAGTAAGCGACATGGCTGCAAGAGGTGTGGTAAAAACTGGGTTATACACTGCACATGCACGATGCACCTGGTCAGCCGAGATGCCTAAATTTAGGGTTTAGGGTTTAGGGTTTAGGGGCCCAGCGCCGTGGGAATCTGGAAGACCCTCGTCCTAGACGCGTCGTCTGTGCGATATTCCAATGGAAAGCTCCCCAAGTTGACCATTGTAGCGGCCCGAATAATTAGAAGAGGGTTTTTGGGTGATGTTCTACTATAACTCTAACTATAACTGTGATATGGAACTCTCAAAATAGTGTTGGTCACTGTTTAGGTTTCTATAGTAGGTGGTAGCTTCAGGAACAGCAAGGAGTCTGAAATAGTAGGATCCTTATGCAAAGCATCCCGAAACTAGGGTACCTTCTATTACCTTTTCTCTTCGGCTACTAAACCCAAAGCCCTGAACCCTGAATCGTAAAGCCCCACAACGCCCTAAACCCTAAGCCCTAAGCCCTGAATCGTAAAGCCTCAACCCTGACTCGAAACGCCCCAGAATGCCTAAACCCTAAACCCCGAATCGCAAAGCCGAAACCCTGAATCGAATTGCCCCAAAATGCCTAAACCCTAAACCCTGAATCGTAAAGCCCCAAAACGCATCAAACCCTAAGCCCTAAATCCTGAATCGTAAAGACTAAACCCTGAATCGTAAACCCCCAAAACACCCAAAACCCCAAAATGCCTAAACCCTGAATCGCTGAGCCCCAAAACGCCCTAAACTTTGCACCCTTGATCCTCTCAGCAGGAGATCGCTGGGGGTCACGAGCTGATCTGCAGCTTGGCCGGACCTTCGCAAGCTTGAGGTGTTGCCTCGAGGTTTAGGGGTTTCAGGGTTTAGGGGTTTAGCGGTTCAGGTTTTAGGGTTTTAGGGTTTTAGGGCTTTACGGGTTTAGGGGTTTAGGGCTTTAGGGGTTTAGGGGTTTAGGGCTTTAGGGCTTTAGGGGTTTAGGGGTTTAGGGTTTAGGGTTTAGGTGTTTAGGGGTTTAGGGGAGGTAGTGCTCTAAGGTTCGGTTCCCAGAGAGCCCAATACCCCTCAATTGAGGAATCTACCTTAAATCATATTAATTATTCAGGCCCCCATTTAAAGGCAAATTCCTTCATGAAGGGGTATTGGGTTCTCTGGGTTCCTTTGAGAGGGAACCTTTAAAAGGGAACCCTGTTATCGAACCCTATAGTAAAAGTACCTTCAGGGGTTAAGGGTTTAAGGGCGGTTGGTCCTCCAAACCCTGGAACGGAGCTTCATGTAGCAGCCTTCATACTTAGAATAGGGTTTTGGAGCCCATTTGTAGTATAATTTGAGTAAGGAGCCCCCCAAAATAGTATTGGCAGTTATTTAGGCCCCCAAAATGAGCCTGTTACAGGCGTCAAGTCGGCTGCGTCTTCGTGGTGCCTGAACCCTGCAACCCTAAGCCGGGTTTGAGGGTGTACCTTAACCCCAAAGAACCTACCTTTTTCAGGACTTGTATAAAGAAATCATAGTAAGGAACCCTAAAAAAGGTAGGTTCTTTTGGGTCCAGGATGGGTTTAGGCGCGTTATACCTCTGGGCAGTCGGGGGCCCCTCAGGCCGTAGCTTTCCAACCTTGCAGACGGAAAAGATGCCTCAAACAGGAAAACCAAGCCCCAGACCCTGAAGCCTTGGGTTTAGCTGTAGCCGGAAAGACCTACCCTTTTTAGGGTTCCTTATTATGCTTTCTATATATAGCTCCTGAAGAGTAGGTCTTTTCGTTTACATGTAGGGTTTCGGGTTTAGGTTTAGGGTTTGGGATTTCGGGTTTTGGCACCCTCGATCCCTACAGGCTACTTTTGGGCGGTACTCGCTGGCGTCATCTGGAATGTTGCGAACATTATCCTCTGACGCTTGGCTTGCTGATTGCTGGCTTGGGAAAAGCTGCACATCCAACAAAACATTACGATGAAGATCCCAGTTCTAGAAGATGGCATCGCAAACAAGACCTCTACCATTCCTTAGAGACTTTTTAGCCCAGAGGGTCCGAGTACCCAAATAGTAAGGTTTTAGGTCCCACAATCCATACTCTGAATGGTTTTTGGACCTTGAAATTGAAACCCTACTATTTGGGTACTTGGGCCCTTGGGGTTAGAGCGTCTGTCAGGAAACCCTCATTTGGTCCCCAGAGGGACCCTAACTTAGACAACTACCCAGAGACTTTTGGTATGTCTGTCAGGAAACCCGTACTATACTGGGGGCCTAAAAAGGGACCCTGATTTAGAGATCTACCCATGAGAGCCTTTAGAGTCGAAACTTTAGAGTGTCTGTCAGGAAACCCTCACGGTCGGCAATGCCAGGTGGTTCTGAACTTTCCAGAGAGCCCAGCACCCCCGACTACTCCTCAGATCTCGCATACAATAGGAGTGTAAACAAATAAATAAATATACATACATACATACATGCATACATGCATGCATACATACATTCAGACATACATATGTGTATACATATATATATATACATACATATGTATATGTTCAACATCTGTCTTAAATCATAGAGGGGTCCTGAATATGATGTAAAGAGTAGTGCGCAATTCCAGGGTGTTGGGTTGTCCAGGTAATCACCAGCGCTGCTCCCTGTGCCTTTTTGTGATGATTAGAGCCACGGGTCCACCTTCCCGAATGAATTGTTAAGCACGCCTCTTGGTACCCTAAACCTTAAACCCTAAACCCTTAACCCTAAACACTAAACCGAAAGCAATGGGAGTGCTTGACACTTCCGGGATGCATGTCGCAGCAAGGTCAGGATGCCAACGTTTTGCAAAGTACAGCGACAACACATCTGCAGATTTCGTCTACAAGTAGGCAACGCATCCGATGAACCCCTTGAAAAAAACCCTTGTAGACCTAGTACTTTTGGTGCAAAGCGTAACTGACCCCCTTAAGAAATCCTGAATTCCATCCCCCCAAACCCTAAACCCCAAAACCCCAAACCCCTAAACCCCAAAACCCCAAACCCCCCAACCCCAAACCCTAAACCCCTAAACCCCAAAACCCAAAACCCAAACCCTAAAAAGGCAAGGGCATTAGCTTGCTGGGGAACGCCATCGGCTTTCCTCTTTGCGTCGGCCTGGGGATGGTCACAGGCCGGGTTTAGGGCGTTGGGGGCTTAGGGATTTAAAGGGATCTATAAGGGTTTAGGGTTTTTAGGGATTAGGGAGTAGGGGTTAGGATTTGGGGTTTAGGGCTTGAGGTCTAGGGTTTAGGGTTTGGGGTTTAGGGGAGTCTGTGGGAAACGGAAAGGAAGCATCGGGTCTCTATGAGCTTTTGAGAGTTCTATGGTTTGTTCAAAAAGGGTTTCATGTTCTGTAGGATCCCCAAAGAAGAAATTACAAACCTTATCTAAGAAGTGCTACCAGGGTTCTAGCAGGGATTTCGGGTATGGGTGTTTTAGAATCAGAAGTACTTCAGAATTTCACAGGGACTGTGTTTTGTCAAGGTCCGCTGCTGCCCGCGCGGCTTTCCCAAGCCAAGCTGCCAAACGTAGAGCATACTGATAGTCTGATGGTCCAGGCTCCCCGTTCTTGGCTCTAGTCAAAATTTGTAAAGGGGTTCGACGCAGCCGCCATCATTTTTCGAAGAGTGTGGGGATTTGTTCCTGCATCTGCATAGTGCATGTTGGGACAATGTCTTTCTGTTTGCAGGCGTGCTCTCAGCGTACATCCAAGAGCCGAAAAGCGACCTCGCATTCCTCGTGCCAGGCCTTGCCGTTCTGATTCCCGGCTATTGCACCGTTCAGGTTGTTCAGGTTGGTTGTCGTTGGTACATGTCGCCGACAACACCGACACCCCAAATGTCAAATCGTAGAGCACCTAAAGCAGCCTAAAGCCCAAACACAGAGCTTCGAATCTGCGCAGCCATCATCTTACCCGAAATGCTTGCCCCTCACGTCGAAGCTCTATATATACCGCAAACAAACAAACACCCTAAACTCCTTAAGCTCTAGACCCCTGCTAACATCCATGGAAAGCAAAACCCCCAATTTCCTTAAGCTCTAATAAAGCCTTACTAAAACCCATGAAAAGCGTTGATCGAGTCAAACAAAATCTTATTAGCTGAGTAGGTAACCTTTAACCTTTTTGGGCTTATACAACACAACTATAATTTGAAAGGTTAACCTTTTTTGGGCTAGGATCCCTAAACCCTGAGCCCTAAACCCTGAACCCTAAACCCCTAAACCCTAAACCCCTGAATCCTGAACCCTAACCCCCAAAACCCTAAACCCCTAAACCTCTAAACCCTAAGAAATGAACTATTCCCTCAAGCCTCTCCGCCTCGCGCAGCAGGAGTGGTGCTGGCCCTGCTGGGAGCTTCCGCCCTGGGCTTTGTGACCTACCGGAAGGAGACGCAGATCTTTGTGCTTTTAGGGTTTGAGGGTTTAGGGTTTGAGGGTTTAGGGTTTCAGGGTTTAGGGGTTAGGGTTTGAGGGTTGAGGGTTTAGGGTTTGGGGTTGTGTGTCTCTCTGTGTGTGTGTGTGTGGGTGTTTTTTCTTGTTTTTTAACCGGGGTCGGAATAGTCGGTAATACCAAGA